AAAGAGTTACAGTCTCGGGAACTCTCAGGGGCAGTTCTACCCTGCCCTATAGGGTTGCTATGAGTTGGCATCTATTCAATGGCAGTGAGGTCTGTTTCGGTTTACCTAATCAGTTTCTAAATTTAAAAAATAGGTTCTTAAATCCAGTAGTCCTTTCATCCAGTTAACATATTATCATTTTTGTGGTACAAATGAACCCCAAAGTGACTTACAATTTTCATATTACCCAAACCAATCCAAACAAAACTCCACTGTTGATTCAGTTCCAAATCAGGCCTTCGTGGACGGAGTAGAAGAACTCTTCCATAGGGTTTCCCAGGCTGGAATCTGTACAGAAACAGATCGTCACATGCTTCCTTAGGAGCGCCTGATGGGTTTGAACTACCAACCTGTCAATTAGCAGCTGAGCACTGAAACCACTGTGCTACCAAGCTGGTATTTTCATACTACCATTAATAGCTGTTCATTGTTATAAGGACATTTCCGTCCTTATAAAAGTTCTTGGTAGCACTTACCCAGGTTGCCTTTCTACTTTTATCTCACACACCCACTATTGATAATCATTTCTCTCCTTGCTTATTTTATTTTCAGCTTTCATTCTCATTCACCAGGGGTCCCATTGCCCATCTTTTGAGCTATTTTTCCTTTTCTTTATTAATGGCATCTCTTAGTAAAGTTTCGGAACCTCCTCTTCAGCTAAAACAGACCCTGGAGCATTACCCAAATCGTTCTTGTCTCCTCTTCTATCCTTTCCCCTGTAGAGTCAAATTTTTGTTGATTCATACAGAATGAATCGTGAACAAACTAGGGCTATAAATATGCTGTCGTTTTAAGGCTGGACTTGGAAGAGAGGCTACCACTGTTTTATATAGAGTAAGACTTCACTGATGTTACCTCTTAAATACTTCTTGATTGTATCTGCTTTGCTCCGTTTTCTTGTCCACTTCATTCTTCACTGTCTCCTTCCCAAGCAGTTGAGCTTTTATACTTTCACCTCTATATTTCACCTCACCACCAGAACCTCCTGTGCTTTCTCTGCAATCCCTCATGACATCCTTCTAATCATTTCTTCCCATTTCAGCCAAAGGGATTGTTTTGGAAATGCCTACGCATCTCATTCTGTGTCCTGCACCCCTGTTTCTACATGTCCTACAGGTTCTATAGGTCTAAAGTTGCATGAGAAGATGTAATCAAGAAAAAAAGTTATCTGATAAATGGCCAAGCTGTTTAATTCGCTCAGCGGTCATGGATGAGCTGGCTTGTTTTGCTACAGCCTCTTTCTGCACTGTTCCTCTTCCTGTGCCTCTGTTTTATATACACAGCCACTTGGTGTTTGTTCCTTTCTTTCTTTCTTAAATATGAGAAGCAAGTTTAACTCCCATTTCATATGCTGTCTCCTTTTGGACATGCCACAACCCATGATGGGGGAAGAAATACTTTTTGTACCTAATAAAAATCAATCAGGATCCACATCTCACACCATGTATACAAACAGACTCAAAATGGATCAAAGACCTAATATGTTTAAGCTAAAACTATGAAGTTCCTAGGAAGTAGGATCAAATGTAGGATCAAAACTAGGTAACCACATTTTGGGCATCAATACTCAAACTAGACTAAAAATGCATGAACAGCAAACGATAAAGTAGGTAACAGGGCCCTCCTGAAAATTAAATACTTACTCTTGCTTAAAAATTGGACCAAGAGTGGAGAGGGAACCTGTCGTTAGGTGCCATCCAGTCGACTGACCCACAGCGATCCTTTGCGCAGCGGAGGAAAGCCCTGCCCAGCCGTGTCCTGCTCGTCATCAACGCTGTGATTGAGGCCTCTGTTGGGGGCCTCCTCTTTCGCTCACCTTCTACTTCACCAAGCGTAGAACTGGTCCCTCTGGATAACCTCCAGAGGACGTGGGACAAAGTTCCACCGTCCGCAGCAATCGTGTTTAAAAATTAGCATTACTTATCAAAGAAAACCAGCCCCGGTGACA